TAACAGCAACTTTCACAGTGCCAAACAAATTCAGGAAAGTATTAAAGTATCCTTAGATAAAATTGCGAAAAAAAATAGTGCCAGTGTTCGAGATCATATCAACAATGAGATTCAATCTCTTGTTGATATGATTGAAACACTAGAAAGGGATAAAGACCAAGGCGGTGTATCAGCCATTGTTCAGAGAGCAGTTACTGAAGCACTTTCATCTCAGAAGGTCCACGAAGTACTAACTCGAATAATAGCTGATAGCTCCGTGCCCAAAGTTACTGAGCAGCTTGGTATGATATCATGTCGTCCCCAGATTGGTACTTCTAGAAATCAGCCACACTCTGGTACGAATAGTCTTCAACCACAGGCTGGGACTTCTGAGGCCCTAGAACAGGTTGGTCTAGATATGAATCCGGCTGAACCTTCAGCTACCATCGAACCCTTTCGGTTGGTCTTAAATAAAAGGAAACGGAGGAAGACTAAGAATGCCAAGGGAAAAATGATACGAGAGAGTCAAATCAACTGTTTTGATTCAAATGAAAAACCGCAAAGAGAGAAGGAAGAAGTAAAGGCAAAATCTATTGCTTCCATAGTTAAATCCTTGCCATCAAAGCCTACACAAACGCCCCGGTCAACATATGTCACTATCAGTGGCCCTGGTAAAACCACGGCAGATATCATTAATGGGCTACCATCACCAGAAGAAATTGGAGTGAAGGCCACAATTGTGCGTAAAACTAAGGGAGGCTCCATCTTGGTGCGTATGGATGATGGTAAAGATGCTACCAAAGTTATAGGATGCCAGGGGCTACGTGATAGAGGTCTACAAGCCAGGCTTGCTCTGAAGAAGAAGCCTAAACTAGAGATCCGGGGCGTGCCTCATGCCTGGACTTCAATACAACTCTTGGAATTTTTATGGGGAAAAATTCCCGAGACGTCGGGGCCTACCCCACTAGTTCTTGAAGATCTTCGGCCATTGTTCTCTACAGTCGCTAGGAACGGCTTCTCCAAGAATTGGGTCCTGGAAGTCCACCCAATGGTCAGGTTTGCGCTACTAGAAGTAGGAAACTTGGATGGAGGATGGTGGTCGATGACCTTCAGGGATTACATTGACGCCCCGCGTTGCTCTAAATGTCAGGGATATGGCCACACAAAGGCCACTTGCCAAGCTGACAATGTCATCTGCATCTGGTGTGCAGCAAGCGGACATATACTGAAGGACTGTCCAAAAAAAAAACAACAGGTTGGGCCAACGTGTATTAACTGCGTGCGAGCGAATGCATCTCCCAACCAAAGGAATCACAAGGCGGGCAGTCGGGACTGCCAAGTACACTTACAGTGGGCCGATGAAGTAGTGAAAAAGACCTATTATGAGTAAAATAAACATTCTGCAGTTAAACATGGGCCGCCGGCGTATCGTGGCAGACGAACTCCGAGCCCATTCTGACCGATACGATATCATGGCGGTTCAGGAACCGACATGCCGTGGGAACATGGTCACAGGATTTGGCCTCACGTCGAGGGTTATAGCCCTGAGCAGTGGAGAGAGGAGGCCCAGGGCTGCTATCGTGGTTAATAACCCAAACCTCGATGTGATGGATCTGAGGCAGCATACTACGGCGGATTGCGTTGCATGTTACATCAGGTGGGGAAGTGTAGCTTTTACGCTGGTCTCCTCGTACCTACCTGATGGAAGCGATATTGAAGAAGGTATATCCGCCATGGAGACGATCTCAGCTTGCACAAGAAACGTCATTATATGCTCAGATACAAATTCTTGGAACACGGTCTGGGGATCCAATCGAACGAATAGAAGAGGCGCTAAACTGGATGATTTTATCGCGAGATGCCAGCTTGTAGTACTAAACGATCCTTCTGCCACACCTACCTTCTCAGGAGGAAGAGGGCAGAGTTGGATAGATGTCACGATGGCTTCGCCTGCGCTGTCAAATCGCCTTATCGATTGGACCCTCAGATCTGAGACGAGTTCCGACCACCATGCTATAGTATTTTCAATGGTACAAAACATGGTAAGTTCCCACGGTATAAATAAGGGTTACAGAACTCGGAAAGGAGATTGGAATGCCTTCCGGTCAACGCTGGAAGAAAAACTAGTCGACGATGACTGGGATGTGGCGGAAACGGATTACACTGATGACCTGGATTACAGGGTTTCGAGAATCACTGACATCATCCGTGATGCCGCTGAGGACTCTCTCCAGCACCGGAAGGCGAGAGCTAAACCTGTCCCATGGTGGACGCCGGCTTTAACCACCATGAAGAGAGAGCTCTACAAGGCCCGGCGTTCGTACCAGCGGTGTAGTTGCGATGAGAGGCGCACTACTCTTCGTGACGAGTACAGGTCTAAAGCCAGGGTATACCGAAACGAGGTGCGTCTACATAAACGTAGGTCTTGGGATGAATTCATCGTTGAGGAATCATCTAAAAACCCCTGGGGTATCCCGTACAAAGTAGCCTTGGGTAAATTGACTCCAATGCAAGTAATCGCAGCGATAAAGTATGACGGTACTCAGGCAAAAACTCCAGAAGAATCGGCGAAGATGTTTATTACAGAGACTTACCCCAGGGATGATCCATCTCAAGATAATGAAGAGGAGGAGTTCGTAAGACGCACTACGGTATACCCTCCCGGCACGGACCTGTGCCCACCATGGGACATATGGGATCTTCGCACTGCCGTGGACAAGCAAAAGATTGGTCGTGCCCCCGGTTTAGACACCATTGACGCGTCAATTTTCAAGAACAGTATTCCCTATATAGAGGAAAGATTGCTGGCTATTTATAATGATTGCCTAGACAGGGAATACTTCCCAAGAATCTGGAAAATCGCTAACGTCAAGCTCATTTACAAAGGAGGAGACAAAGATAAGCAATTAGCCAAATCTTATAGACCTATATGTCTCCTCCCAGTCATGAGCAAGGTGTTAGAAAACCTGATACTCACCAGCCTACGGCCAGTCTTCTCGAGAGCGAGCCATCCACGGCAGTACGGATCCTCTAAAGGCAGGGGAACCGCAGATGCCCTGCTGAGAGTGCGCTGTGATGTTGAAGAGAAGGCGGAGAAGTATGTTATGCTCCTCCTGTTTGACATATCATCCGCCTTCGATAGCGTCTGGTGGCCGAGCGTACTCCAGCAGTTGCAAAGGCATGAAGCCCCCAGCAACTTGTATGGCTTGATCAGAAGCTATCTCCACGATAGGACATTGAAGATTAAAGGTAGCTTCTATGAAGTAGAAGATACAGTGGAAAGGGGCTGTCCACAGGGCTCTGTCCTTGGCCCTGCCCTATGGAAACTGGTCTTTGACGAGTTGCTGGGAGTGCTAGAACAGGAGCGGTTCCCCGCCACTGCATATGTAGATGACCTGGCTGTTGTAGTGGCCTCGAATAGCAGGGCCAGATTAAAATATGAAGCTGAACGTTGTGCCAACCTTGTAGAAGAATGGTGCGAGAAAAAGAAGTTAAGGATGGCGGGTTCCAAGACTCAGGCCATCCTCTTGAGAGGTTCGACCGATAGGGCACACCCCATAACCTTGGTGATACAAGGTTCCAGAATATGTCCAAGTGAGGTAGTCACCTATCTTGGAATTAGGATTGGGAAAAAATTCAACGTGACGCCTCACTTGGATTACTTAAGGAATAGGATAACCTTAGCCCTTAATGGTCTCAGTCGCATAGGGGGGGCCTTTTGGGGCCTTAGATATCCAGCAACTATGTCCATTTATAAAGGAGTAGTTGTTGGTATCCTGAGATACGCGTCCCCCGCATGGAACCGGAATCTCTCGTACCGTCAGAAGCGCAAGTTGGCAACAATCCAGCGGATGGCCCTGCTTAGAGTAACCAGGTCATACAGAACTGTGTCCCATGAGGCGGTGCAGGTCTTAGGAGGAGGTATTCCTCTCGACCTCCTTCTGCGGGAAGACCTTTATCGGTACAACATTAAGAGGGATGACTTGGCGGATTTACCAGCAAACATTCGGGAGAGGATTTGTGATGACCCCAGAAGATGGAAGATGATCCTCCGGGAGGATACATTGGAACAATGGAATCGGCGATGGGTGACAACCCCAAACGGGTCCACACTAAGAAAATTCTTTCCCACCATTAAATCGCGCTTAGAAAAGAAATGGGTCCTCCCGGACTACTGGGTCTCACAGATCCTCACGGGGCATGGGGGTTTCAGAGCAAAACTTTTTAAACACGGTAAAAATATCGACCCCTTATGCCCCACTTGTGGAGTACCTGAAACCGCTGAGCACATCCTTGTAGCCTGCACCAGCTATGAGGCACTGAGGGCCAAATTAATGAGGGATACAGGGCTTTTCGTTCTTACAGAAGGACAATTACCCCAACTAATGTCTGAACAAAACTACCCGCACTTTAAAAGTTTCGTATGCGGCTGGAAAAAAACTGTGGGCCCAACCCACTTCTCCCTGAGAAGGCGTGAAGAAGCAGTACCTGGAAGGCCGCTAATTAGGACAGGAGAAGAAGATGGAGAACAATAACTAAGTGACAAAATTATCAAGCAGGCTGTGTGCACAGCAATTTAAAAATGTAAATAGATAAACATGCAACAGTGATTTGTTATACAATGTGTATCAAGTCACTGCTGCAAACTCCCGTATTGTCTTAAAGGCAGGGTAGGGAGGAAAATAAAATAAAATAAAATAAAATAAAATAAAAAAAATAAAATAATAACACATGAGGTTCCAAAATCTCATCTACATAGCGAATGGCTGTGTTCTCGAGCAAAAGCCAGCCGTGTTACTCTGTGAGTTCTGGTCAACTCTGGTCCTCTTACTGGACGAAAAGCCATTAATCCATACTCATTTAATCTTCTCCAAGCGGTACGTTCAGAAAATTGCTCACCTCGAACTTCTTCGAGCTGATGAATCGCTTAAACAACGGTAAGGTGCCGGATTCGTAAAATTCTCAAAGTCAAAAACCGGTCATCCTGTGGTTCTGTTACCCTAGGCCGTCCAGAACCGAGCCTAAGAACCAGTTTCCCGGAAACGCCTGACGGCGTCTCGTAAAGTTTCATATGGAATTCCGATGGCATTAGCTGCATATCTAATGGAACGTCCATCATCAATAAGTGCCACACCACGCGCAACATTCTCAGCAGTAAGAGGCATTTTTAAACTTAATGTTGAAAAAATTAAAAGCCGGAGACTAAGAAATGTGCTGCAAGAAACATTACTGAACTAATGATACTGAATAAACATTTTCCATAGAAAGTAAACATTTGAATTTAGAATCATTTCATTGAATTAAGGATTAAGAGTTATTGTCCTCTATATTAACATTCCTAATTGAAAACAAACAAAAAGATTACCTATTTATTCATTAAAAACAATAGACCAATCCAAAGCAGAAATATTTTTAGATGAAAACATGAAAAAATCAAGTGGGTGGAATTTTTTGCCTGTCAGCGTATTTTTGAAATATTATATAAAAAAATAGATTGGAGAAAAGAAGGAGAAGCCTTTTAGTTCCGAGCTCTTAAGAATCGAGGCTTGGCGGAGTCGAGAAAGCTGGAGCCTTTTTACACGTTGGGCCAGACCCCCCTACCGTGCACCCCCTCCCCACATCCTTATCCATTGCATATCGTTATGTCCCTTTTAACTATTTATTTCCTCAAAATGGTGTCCAAAGATGGCCGACTAACGACTTTGACTTGAGTTAGTTTTTTGGTCACTGAGAATCAGAATTTAGCTTGTTTTCGTCATAATTGGCCATTAATTAAAGCTGAATAGTCAGAGATTAATAAAACATGAAAAAATATTATAGAATAATTGACTTAGGCAATAAAAACAACAGTAAAATTAACTTAAAAAAAAAAATTCCAAATTAAAAATCAATCGTTGTTTGTAATTAAACGAGTAAAAATAACGCAAAACATGCGAAATAAAACCTCTGAAGAATATATTCCTCTTTCTAAAACATTGATAACTTTTTAAAATATTTGAAGAGGTTTTGCAAAAAATGTACTTAATCAGCGGAAAAAGCGGTACTGGCGTGGGTGCCTACAGGCCTCTGCCACATCATTCAGTACCCATAAATGGCATAGTTATAGTGCTATAGTAAGGTTTATTGCAGCAGAGGGATAAGTAAAAGTTTTGTGTTGCGCGCACCAGATTTTTTATTTAACATTTGCTATTCAATACTTCGTTTTGTGCATTTACTGATTATTAGAGTTAGGTTAAATCGTATATAGTTTCTCAGAAATGAGTCATATTAATACCTATTTTGTAAACTAAAATATATACTTAATCTGAACTACATATAGTGAATAGTTACCGGGTTGTTTAATAATATATCACAAATAAAAAAATTAACTTAATTTTTTTATTTCCTTTTTTTTGTTCGGAGATTGGACCATATAAAAGGATAGGAAATTTTAATATTGCATGCTTTATTCTCTCTGCACAAAGAAAGATAGAAAGGGCGAAGTTGTATGTTCTTCTTGGCAATCGGAACTAATTGTTAATATTTAGTATCAAAATAAGGAAAGCGAACGAATAAGGAATTGCCAAAATATCGGAAAAGAAAACTAGGATCAGTATCCATTCTAAGGATAAAAGAATATATAGTAGACAGATGAAAAGGATATTTCAAGGAACTGCTAAAAGGTAGTTAAATGCTATGGCAGTTCGGATGATATTATGGGGACGATGGAGATTTTTAATATATTCTTCAGAGGTTTTAATTCAGGACTTTTTCTGTTATTGTTAGCCGTTTAATTATTTTGTAATATTATTTCATATTTTCTTATTCTCTGACCATCCAGCATTAATAAAAGGCCAATTAGGACGAAAATTCTGATTCTCAGTGACCAAAAAACTAACTGAAGTCAAAGTCGCCAGTCCGCCATATTTGTACGCAATTTTGTGGTAGTGCGTTCACTTTTTTTTTTTTTTTTTTGTGGGAACATTGGATTTTTTAAAATGAATAGTTAAAAAGGATACAACGATATGCAATTCGTAGGGATGTGCACGGTAGAGGGGTCTGGCCACACACTATTAAGGGCCCCTTACACGGTCAATATTCTTGAGTCAATATCGAGTTTGGTGGGTTCACCTCCCTCCCTCTCCGAATTGTTTTTAAAGATGAAATGGCAATATGTTTGGTTAGGTGGGTGATACTCTTTTTATTTTCCTTTTTTTTTTGCAGTAGACGAATTATCCCACCGATAATTATTATTATTATTATTATTATTGGATATACTTTTTGATTATTATTTTGCTTTTGATTTTCTGTAGATATGGTGTGAATTTACTCTTTCCGCACTATAACCATTGCCCATATGACATTATATTATATTACCCAATAAAAAAAAAAATAACCCTTTATAATTCTGTTTTTGATTAATTTGTTTTTATTTAGTTTTTCGATTGCTTAGATTTTCATTGGAAGAATATTAATACAATCTGCCACAATCAAGGACCTTAGTATTATAACTGTATTTGTTGATTCACACTATTTATGTAGAAATGTAAATACAAACTGCTAAATGAAACAGGTTATATAAGAGGAAAAATATGTAAATAAAAAATTCAATAAATAGATAATAATTTCAAGAAGACAGATATATATTAAAATACTATTAGAAAGAAAACATGCTTCTAAAATAAAAAAAAAAATCATTAAAAGAATAATAGAAAGAAAAATATTTGTCACGCAATCATACCTATTTTTTTATATTAAAATGTTTATTTACGTAATAATTTATTATGGGTGTTAAAATTAAACTTTAGAATTTCACTTAACATTGCGCTTAACATTTTAAGCGCACTCACCGTTTGTCGTCGTTTCCCGGCTTCTCTCCGACGTACCATTGAGTGTGGTTGATGGAGTTGATGACCACTTTGAAGACCCCATCTGACATATTGTGCATGTGGAGCCAGAAGATAAGCTTACAATTCTCGCTTGACTTGACGAAGGGATCTGACCAAACATGGACCTCCTTTGGGCCAGGTTGTTTCAGGTACAAGTACAGGAAGTGGCCTAAAAGAAAAGGCTACTTCAGTGTCTTGCTTAAATGAAACGAAATATATAAAAATAAAATAACATTAAAAATAGTATAATATAAATATGTTAATCAAAGAAGGTATGTAAATCATAGTTACTATATCGATTTTTGTATATCTTAATCACAAAGAAAAAGCAGAAAATAAGTTCTCAAGAAAACAATATTTCTATGGGGAATATCTCAAAAAGTATACTTTTTTAATATATATAATCGTTCCTTACCTACGGATGTGAAACATGCGTTTTGACATAGGAAAGTGAGGGGTAGCTGATACTCTGGGAGGAAAAGTCCTAAGGAAAATATACGGTCTGAAGAAAATAAATGATCAGTGGCGAATACGGAAACAGCTCTATGAGCTGTTTAAAAATGATGATATTATAGACACTGTCAAAAAGAGCCGGCTCAGATGGCTGGGCCATGTGGAGAGAATGGAGGAGAATAGGTTGCCCTAGGAAACTTCTCTATAACCGCCCAGGAGGAGCCTGTCTCAGGGGAAGACCCCGGCTGCGGTGGATCAACGACGTGGAGGACCTCAGCCACCTGGGTATCAGAAGATGGAGAAGAATAGCTGCCGATAGGGAAGCCTGGTGGAACCTTGTTTCTGACGCCCAGGTCCATTAAGGACTGCAGAGTAAATTAATAATAATCGTTCTTTTCCGATTTAAATTTCATCCTTCTTTTAAGATCCATAAATTTTAATTAATGTACATTGGAATCAAAACTTTAAATTTCAATCAGTTAAAAAAAATATCTTTTTGCCTGAATAATTATTAGCTTTGATAATGTTTGTTATTTTCATTTTTTCCAATAAAAAATCCTGTCTTAATTTAGTGAAAAACAGAAAATGAAAAGAATCAATCTAAGAATCGTTCATAAGAATCGATTCACCATAATGATTGAATCATTAAGAATCTATTTAGTTAAAAGAATCGAAATTCTATAATTTGAATAATATGAAAGAAACCTTTAACGTTCATTTCAAATGTTTTAGAATTTTTGAAAAAGTTGTTTTCTTTAACGATTAAACTATTAATAGTCGGCCCGTGCGAAAAATTCGCACAGTATATTGTTAAGTGATCAAATTCCAAATTGATAATAAAATAATTCAACGTATCATAAGATAAAGAAATCAATTGTTACTTTATCGATAAATATAATCGACAAAGGAAACATATTTCCAAATTTCAATAAGCTGTATCTTTACTAAAAATTGTCGGATTACGATGATTTTTTTTTCCTTTTGTAGAGGATTTAGCAATCTTTCATTTGATCGTGGACATAAACAAATAAGAAAAAGTGTGTGATTTTTTAGTTATTCGCAAATAAAGTTTCTTTTCTGTCATAACTTTTTTGCCTAGATTTTTTGGTTTATAGGATTATTTTTATTTCCTTTTGCCCGCTTGAAGGAGAAGGAAGCCTTAAAAAATTGGTGGCTCAATCTTGAGATTTGGAGAAAAAAACCTTCGATAAATAATATAAACTCCTCCTCTCTCGATCATAGAGGCCTCAAGTCGATAAAATGAGACGTATATTCAAGGACAGTACTACAATTAACGTAAGATTGTGTGGATGCGAACGCTTTGCCTTGCGATATCTCGAAAATAGTACGGTTTTGGGCTTTAAAACGCAGGACCCGATAGTCCCGAAGGAACTATCCGGGTCTTGTTGTACGCATCAAAATCTTCAAAGCCCGATTTGTCCAGTATCGATTTACAAACTTACCACCGTTCCAGTATTGAAGCCTAGCAAAAATTTTGTATCGACTTTATTTATTTTAGAAAGAAAAACAAACGGAGAATACGATTCGCTAACCCACCGTGAAATTTTGAATCCAACGGTACCCCATTCAAGGTATTTGAGCCTGACAGGAGTTTATGTTTGGTATACAACCGATTTGGAGCCTTACTGTAATAATATATGTGGGGGTGGGATTTTTTTAAATGAGAGAAACACCATGCTCTTGTGTTTCTGTCTGGTGATGTTAAAATGATAATTATTAAGGTTATGTTAGTTTTCTGCAGTAAATTTCTCTCACTCCTCCATGGTGGAAAAATTCAGATGTATAAAGTCTTATTATTATAATAAAGGTTTCATTATAATAATAACCAAAGAACCTGGATTCATGTTATTGAGAGTCCGTATTTCCAAACTCTTTGTATTCCTAATGATTGCTGAAACTCACCTTGGAATGCTTTAACACAGCCAGAAATCAGCCATTGGCTGTTTTCTAACCAATCAGCATGTACCTTCTTCCAAACTTGTAATGAATGCACTAGCGGATTCAGAGGGCCGCCCTCCTCATGGTAGGTTAGAAAAAATGTTATAGGTTCAATTCATTTGGAATCACCCAATTTGAATTAATTTTGTTGCTCGACAATTTTGATGTTTATAATTTTTATACCAGTTATTACATACTTATTTGCGAGTTCAAAATCCTAGTTGAAAAAATTTCAGGGTTCACACTTTTTTCTCGACTGCCACAGGACCAAAATAGGACAAGGTTTTCAAGATTGAAATTTCACCAAAAACAATTACAGTGGTAGCACTAAATAAAAGAAAAAAAATCAAAGTTGAAACTCTTTTCTTTATTATACTTTTGCATCCCTAAAAGTATCTTTTTTTTGTCTATTTTCATGATTTTTTCAAACTATTTTCCTCTTCCAAATGATGTATTGATGAACAGAAATATAGAAAAATTATTCTAAATCATTTCAGTTTTTTTATTTTATTTTAATACCCATAAAACAACTAGGGCTGCAGGCATTTCCTCAAAACATGATTTTATTTGAAAAGAAAATTAAAAAATGTGTTTCACCGTTGATATAAAGTGGCACTTCCGGTTAGCCGATTTTAAAGGAAAAGTTGCTGTCACATCTAAGGCATATGCTTATCTTAAATACGTAATATCAGTTTCGTACGACTTTTTGTTTTTGAGCTAGACAGCTTTAAACTTGGTGTCAAGTGATTAAGAAGGTCACCGTGTGGTGCCAAATGTTTTAAAGACGTTATCTTTCGACCACCATCCGATTGAGCCATGGCATATTTTGAATTCACATATATCAAATGCCATATTTGATCCTTAGCCCACACCAAAGGGTCATACGTACTCAATCTAACATGCTTCATTCATTCATTGACGGATCCAGAAATTGTCTGAGAGGATGCACTTGTGAACTAGGTAAATTCCATACTCAAAATTCATTTTTACATATACATAAAGCATCGATCGTCAATCCCCTTCCCTTTGATAATTTAAAATAGAAAGTGCTAGGTTTAGATTAAGCTTAGGCTTTTATTATCTGTTACAAGCACATTAGCCTGCTCGGCTAATAAGATACATAAAACGTAGAAATAAAAATAAAAGCACTAGATGTGTAATTAAATTTTTCAATATGAGCCTAATCCATTTGAAATCATCCAGACTATGATCCTCGACATTTTTAATTTTATACTTTTTTACCAATTATTCCATATTTATTTGAGAGTTCATAATTCTAGTTAAAAAAATCTGGTGCGCGTAACACACAACTTTCACTTACCGATCTACTATGAATAGAAATTATTTACTGGCAATGCTGGGCTATTATAAATTTTTTTGAAGTGTATTTTAAACGGACCTAAAGCTTAAAGTTTACAGATATCAATTCATTAAGACCATTATAATTACAAAATGTCTATAAAAACCTAGTCACTCCATCTGCTTTTATAAACAACACAACTTTCTTTGCTTTTATAAACTTCAGAATGACTAATTCCAATTTCAATATTTTTAAGTGATGTCATTTTAGTGATATTTTTAGTTGAAAAAGTTATCTATGCAGAATATGACTAAGTGGATTCCGAAGGTGGTGATTGCAACGTTGAAATATAGAACTGAGCTATAAATTTAGGTACTTATTTTTTATGAAAACTGTTGTTAGGAAAGATAATTTATTAAATATCTGTAGAAAAAATTTTTTTTTAGTCTCAACAATTAAAAAAATATATTTTCAATTTATCCAAATTTTCGCCTCTTCAGGGCAAAAAAACTAGTTGTCTGATCTTAACGATTTTTTTTTTGTTTTTTTTAGGGAATTCCATAAACTTTTAAAAAAACATTCACTCAGGGTACTACTTACTTATTCACTTAGGGTACTTACTATATATTACAAATATATGTAAGTGAAAATAAAAATTCAAGGTCCACAGCTTTTTCTCGGTAGCCATTTTTACTTTCACTGACGTATATATGTAATATATAGTAAGGGAAAGTATTGCGGTCGTGAACATTTTTGAATCTCAGTTTTCAACGGAAATACACGTTTTGGGGTACCCTGAATCCAAATAACTAAGTCTCGAAGAATGGTCTGTGTGTCCGTGTGTTTGTATGCCTGTGTGTGTGTATGTTAGCAGTCTAGCTCAAAAATGAAAATTCGGACGAAACTGATATTACTTATTTAAGATAGGTATATGCCTTAGATGTGACAGCAACTTTTCCCTCAAAATCGGCTAACCGGAAGTGTCACTTTTTATCAAAGCTGAAACACATTTTCACAATTTTCTCAAAAACGGCCGAGTTTGATTTAACTCGCTGTATCAATGTATAATTGAGTGGTCTTTAATATCATTCAGATATTATCCCCGTTGATGCCGCTTTACAGGGCTTAAATGGCCAATGTTCATATGCGTCTTCTTCTAAAGTACCTTTATTATGGTTTATTTTAAATAATTAATTATCACTCGTTATTAAGAGTTCCGAAAAAATGCTAAATATAAATTTTTTAAAGAATTTGATAATTGAAGAAAGCAGAAAAAAAAGGCTCATCCAGGTCGAAAATGAAACTCCGGAAATACTAGTCAGATGGTATACGTATAATATATCGTTAGAAAGCGGAGAATTTTATAAAAAACAATATCTAATATAGAAAGTTGTAGAAGGTAATAGAGAGTGGCAAAAATATTATAAATAATAATTTTTGAAAACTAATAATATTTAC